TTGCATTCCAGATGGGGGTGTCTAGTGCAGGGAGAAGTTGGACTGGCATTCCCCAGAAACAGGACGTTATGCACACACATGGACACACACTTACTGTATCCTAAAAGTCTTAGTGCACTTGTGAACTTTCGTAACTTCGAAAGTATGGATGCTACCAACTTACAAAAATCATGTGAAAGCCCAATTATTTTTTTGTCTATTCTTCTACACTATACTTACTAGACTTCTGTGTAGTTTTGTGAATTTTGAAGAACATTTATTCATTTTAACTTTTTTCTTCAGTCAACATTGGCCATGTTCAATCAGGGGGCTGAAAGGTATTATCATATAGGACATGCCTACAATCCAGACTGCAAATGAGCCACATCTCACAAGAAGCCTGCAGTCAACTAGAATGTTCACATGTTCTCCTGTTAAAAGTACATTACTCCTGACTAAGCTGGTTTAAAACTGGCTTTCTTTTCAATGAAAAAATACCTAAAGCACTACTCTTTGTTAATACCAATTCAATTTTATCTTCTTGGATACAATCCATTCCGCTAAAATCCTTGTGGATCCTTGCTTTCCTACCAGATAATTTAATTCACACACCACCCGCGTTCTCAAATGGCCATTTCTTGTCACATTAAACTATACAGAATCCAAGGAATAACCCTATTGCCATGACTCTTAGCACACAAACAGTCCCTCCCTTCAGGGACCTCATGGATCAATTCTAATAGCAATCTCCTCCAACACAGTGACATCAATCTGTAAATAAGTACTTCTTGGACAGGCCAGTTCTATTAACTAAAAATAGAGCCATCCCATGGCCTTCAGACCATATATTTTTATCTTATTCAGAAGGATTTCAAGAGAGGTTCTGTCAAATGCATTGCTGACCAGTACACTTCTCAGACCATTTCAGGGCATTCTTCTGACACCCCAGGTGAGTGACCCTACCTACAGAAGGCCAAAAGAGGGGATAGTCTTGTCACAGCAATCTTGTCTATGTCTTCTACTCATTAACATAAAGCTATAACAGCACAAATCGAAAGACAGGTCAAAACAAACAAATAAAAGTGAGTTTACTTGTAACTCAAGTTCAACTAAAATCCAGACAACCTCAAACATCTTTCTGTGGGTTGAATTGTGCCCCACAAAAAGATATGTTGAGCTTCTAACCCTGGCACCTGTGAATGTGACCTTATTTGGAAATAGGGTCTCTGCAGATGTAACCATGTTAAAATGAAGTCATACTGGGTTAGGACGGACCTTAATCCAATAACTGGTGTCCTTATAAGAAGAGGGAAATTCGGACAGAGAAGGCCTCATGAGGTTGAAGGAAGAGACCAGAGCAATGCTGCAGTAGCAGCCAAACGATTCCAAGCCAACTACCAGCAGGAGCTAGTGTTATAGTTTTGAAGGATTCTTATTCAAGCCGTCAGCGGGAGCACAGATTTTCCCTATACCTTGAGTTTGGACTTTGGCCCCCAGAACTGTTGAAGAATCAATTTCTGTTGTTGGAAGCCACCCAATTCATGGTGATTGGTTAACAGCAGGCTTAGGAAACTCATACAACATCTATGCAGAAATGTGTAAGTTTGAAGTAATACCTATTAACATCAGAATCAAGAGCACTCAGGAACTGGTAAAAAGAGAGAGTGAGAGATATATTTAGATTCCTGAGCAGGTGGCAGGCCCAGCAGGGGTGAGGTACATGGTGAATAAACTGGCCAAGCAAGTTTGAGGGTGCTGGCTTGAGGCGGGGGGTGGGCAGGCAGACAGAAGGTGACAGGCTCCTCACCAAGGACTTAACTTCCTCTCCCCCCAGGTGAGAGATAGGCATTTCTCAACAAAATCCTGTCACTTTTTAATGGCACCAAAAATCACAAATTCGTCAGTTTATCATCAATGCATAAGCAAAACTATGTTAAGCTTCCTGTCTCCAATTTGGCATTTTCCTTGCCTGTGCTTCATCGTTCTAAATGAGACAGCAGCCCATGCAGGGGAAGGAGCTGTTGGCCTGTCTGTCTCTATATATAGTGCTGTGGCCACCATTTTTCGAAGGTGCTAAGATTCCACTGATTGATGACGATATCGCTAAAATGAGTTACAGTTCAAGATGGAAAAAGGAAGGCTTTTTTTTTTTTTTTCCTTCCCATGTGAAAATTTAGGGGAGGAAGGTTCCTCCCTCGTAGCTTCTAATATTGATCTGGGTCCAGTGTAGCCCATGAAATATAAGTTTATGAAGGCAGAATTCCTCATTGGAAAGACCTTATGAGCAGTCTCCAGGAGCTTTCCCAGCAGTAATTAGGGGGATGTATTATTGCTAATCCTGAGCACACCAGGAGCTGGGTTAATTTTGAAAGATAAAATAAAAGTGCTGCCTTGTGGCAAAAGGCCATTTCTTGATGCCATTAAATCAAGCACAGCCCTGCTTGAGTATTAATTCCAAAGATGTCTGTACCCCCCGCCGATACTCCTTTTAGGAAGCTACTATGGAACAGGCCAAATGAAGCCTCAATGTGCAAATACCATTTAGCAAGTACAGATAAGCTGGGATAAATCATCTCAGAGCACTTAAAAAAAGATTCAAATTTTAATACATTAGCACTAGAACATGCTGTACAAGCAACAGGGAAATTGCAGTTGTCAATGTGTGAATTTAGTCTCAGAGTAAGTTCATCCAAGGAAGTAAAATCTCAATTTAGATTCTTTCTCTACCCCCCTTCCCCCAATCCACGTGTTTCTCTCAGGATGCGGGAGGACACTGTTACTCAGCAAATGGATTTCACACCAAGAAATGGTTAGGGTATATTCATCAGGGGTAAGAATGTGAAGTCCTGACTTTCTCACTGAAATAGTTTGAAGTGGTCTTTCCAAGTGCCAAACCATGCGCGATGGGCTAGGTGTTGCTATTCACGTGTGTGCAGTGCGCCATTATGCACACGTGCAGATATCAATCTGTCTATCTATCTGCCTGCATTCTTTTTTTTTTTTAAGATTTTATTTATTTATTTGACAGACAGAGATCACAAGTAGGCAGAGAGGCAGGCAGAGAGAGAGAGAGGGGGAAGCAGGCTCCCCGCTGAGCAGAAAGCCCAACGCGGGGCTCGATCCCAGGATCCTGAGACCAGGACCTGAGCCAAAGGCAGAGGCTTTAACCCACTGAGCCACCCAGGTGCCCCTGCCTGCATTCTTTTTAATGAGAAAGGATTCTCAAGGGAAATCACAATGGATTTTCTGGTACTTTTTTCTGTTGTCCTTTCCAGAAAGCCCGTCTGCCTGCTGTCGGCAGGGAATAGGACAGGCTGCCGTGTCTGGTGTGAGAGCATAGTGTCGGGAAGGGAAAGCCCAGCCCAGGGCCTTCACTGTCAGGGGGCTAGGCTGGGGAAAGGCCCCAAGTTTCCCTGGGGGCTGGATAGAGGCCTTGGCATCCTCAGGTCCACAGTGCTGTTTTGAAACTGAACTATATTCCAGCTGGAATTTGACAGGTTGTTTCCTATCAAAGCAACAAATGAAACTTTCATTTCAGAACACATGGTTCCTTCAGATTGTTCTATCAGAAGCAGATATTTTCTTTAAATTGAAAGTCAGGGCAGTTTATTTTCCTCAAAACTGTGCTGTGGGTTCCCGCCTGACGCCTAACATTCTCTTGTTCTACACAAAATGGCAAGGCTGTCTCATTCTGTAGAAGGAAAGGGTAGGTTGGGGGGAGGCCTCTCTGAGGGCTCCCTGTGCTGGTGTATTTTCATAGTATCTTTGCTCCCAAAGGGCACATCAACTAGAGATAAAGATGGAATGTATTTAAAGTTTTTTCGAGAGAAAGAGATACCTTCCAGTTAGGTTCTTTGAACCAAAATAACTTAAATCTCTTCAAATGACACTTCTGTCATATTAACTATCTATCTAACATATTATATCATATATGTACTTTCATTGGGCATTTGAAGTTTTCACAATCAGGGGCAATCTCTCTTATTCCTATCCCTCCCCACACACCCTAGTCATTTTTAAATGATAAAATAATTGTACTAGGTTTAAATGCATATAGATGATCTACATACATATGTATTAATACAAATACTGAAGGAACGTGCTTCAGCTGTGGGAGAGTGGGCCCCCGATATCACATCACTTATCCAATCCTGTAAGTGCTCAAGTGTTTCCCATCCCCTTCACCAAAAGCTCACTAATTTGTTTCTGCATGCATTTAAGCAGAAAATTCATTACCACTTCAAAAAGCATTTCCAACTACCTTGTGTCTGAATTGTCCATAAATATGTGATATTCCCCTAATTAAATTAGAAGTAATATGATTAAGGAGAGGTCTCTTCTATCAGGGCAATAATCTTTCCTGTGATGCTGGTAAGATTCTGAAATGACTATAGCATCAGAAAAGAATCTTTCTTGAAGTCACAACCTTTCATATTCATTTCTTGAGACAGGTCTGTCCCTCTTAATCAACTGTCTCTTCTTCATCTATTACAATCACATTTCAATTTGAACCAAAGGATGCTACCCTCCTCCTCTTTGTTCCCTCACAGATGCTAATGACATACAAATTCGGTAGCAGTTAAAGGAAAAGGGATGATGCCAGGCCACTCTCCCTCCCAGTTAGGAAACAGAAGAGGCTAGGGAAAGCTCCACCTAGAAACACACTCAATAATTTTATGATCACAAATTTCTCAACTACATATGTTGACCAAAACAGAGAATTAAAAACGTAGAAATCTGCATCCTGGTTTTCTATAAAACATCAATTTAGTTATTAAGTGGTTATAAATTAGCCATTGGTAATTTACTCTTCTGAATGATTTAACCTTCCCAATTATCATTTCATCTGTTTTCTATATAAAAAAAATCAAAGAAATTCGAGATATGAAAAAGACATGCTGGGCGAGGGTCTGAAACTGATTTGGTAGCTCTGGGGTTGACATAATCTTGGCCTGGTGTGGCTCATTTTGGAAAGCTGCCTCAAATTTCCCCTGGTTTTGAACTTTTTTTTTTTTCCTTACCACTTTCATCTAGCAAGAAATCATCCTGGTAACGGAACTTCTCCGGTCCACATGCAATAAAAATGTCATCGTCACCAAAAAAGTCCTGAAGGCACATCACCTACAAGAGAAAAGCATGGCACTCAGCAAGGGGTCGGCAGAACAGCAATTACAACATTGCATCCCTGCAAGCCCACATCTGCATAAAGCCACTTCCCACATCTAATGGAATCAACAGGAAAGCTTCTCCAGAGGAATTTCAAAAGAAGGTTTCCAGCATCTGTTACCAGTAAGAAACATGTTACATTTCAGTTGTGTAGGAAGATGGGATAGGGAAAATAGAACCAGTAACTGTCACATTTATTACTTGACATATCAATAGGCCATGAGGTAAGAGCTCTCTATTTTCATAAGAGAGTGGATGCAGCGACACGACATGTGGGAAAGGAACACCCCTTTATTCATTTGAATGTAATATTCCTCGATGGCAATAAAAGCCAACGCCTGATTTTAGCAACAAATACAGTAGACGTGCGGTGATCACTGTTTGGGGTAACTACTGAAGAAAATTATCTGTATCATAATATAAATACAATGATCTCCTTTAGACTCATTCTACCTCCAGCTGAAAGAAAAGTAGAAGTCCTCGTAAGAGGAATAACAAAATAGATATTTCTGAGACCCAGATATAGACACTAGGCAACCGTATGCCCACCACTCAAGTTAGGCTAAACTTGAAAACTCCCGTGCTACCCAGCTTCTCGTAGAAAGGCAAAAGCAAAATTTTAAAACACCTTTTGATATTTATTCAACTTACTCTCCAATGAGAACTTTAAGAGAGCTAAATGTTGTTTTTCAGGTACATGTGGTCAAAAGGAGTAATTTCCAGCATACTGCTCTCTGTTGTTGGATACATGATGAAATATTTTGTTCACAAAATGTATGATGCCAACAGAAGGCACTGGAACACTGCTGATTTCTATTTTCAGTTTCCTTTGCTTGGAGCACACCATGAAGCAGCCATATTCAGAGCTGTATGAAACAGACTTTCTAATAGCATTTCCCAGGGATGTCTGAGGCCGACAGACAACACCCCCTGGCATGTTAGATCCTTTAGGCCTGGGTTTACAATCAGATCTTCCCTAATTGGTTTGTAGTCGGCTGCAAGGCGTCTCTGGGGTTTCTGCTCTAGGTCAATGCTGGGTAGCACTGTCCTGACACACGGAAGATAATGTAAGACTTACAGTAGTAAGCTGGGAGAACACTGCATGACTTAGAGGTCCCCAATACAATGATGTGTAGCCTTCAGATAGTTTTTCCAAATAAGCTCTCATTTCCAAATAATCGCTTGGCTGAAATTTTAAGAATGACATTTCTAGAATAGTTTGATAATAAACACTAAGTATAAATGAGGTACGTCCATGACGTATTTCTGGAAAGTTTGAAAAAATAGGTGGTTTAAGAGGGACCTTGTAACAATTAAGGAAAATGGACTCTAAAGATCTTGAAGAATAGTGTCAGAAGCTCCGATCTTCTACTTGGGATAAAAAGAGGGCCTTTGTGGGCACCTGGGTGGCTCAGTCAGTTAAGTGTCTGCTATCGGTGCAGGTCATGATCCCAGGGTCCTGGGATTGAGCCCTGCATTGGGGTCCCTGCTTAGCAGGGACCCTGGTTTTCCCTCTCCTACTCCCACTGCTTGTGCATGCTTTCTCTCTCTCTCTCTCTCTCTCTCTCTCTGTTAAATAAATAAAATCTTTAAAACAAAACAAAATAAAAAAAGAGGCCCTTTGCACCTGGGTGGCTCAGAGGCTAAGCATCTGCCTTTGGTCATGATCTCAGCGTCCTGGGATGGAGGCCCACATTCGGGTCCCTGCTCCGCAAGAAGCCTGCTTCTCCCTCTCCCACTCCCCCTGCTGTGTTCCCTCTCTCACTGTAATCTTAAAAAGCAAAAAAAAAAAAAAAAAAAAACCAAACAAACAAAAAAACCAGGCCCTTTGAATTCAGAATCCACTCCATGTCACTCCTCCCTTTCCGTCTGATCCCAGCTGTGGCCTTGTCCATCTTTATCTTCAGGACAAGCACCCCACCCCAGCCTTCATGATCAGCAGTTGATATCAACTCAACCAACCCCACACAGGCCATTTTCACCTTACACACATTAAGTCTTTACTGAGCCTACTATGCACCAGTTAACATAGAGCATATACACACAAAAATGAATAAAACATGATCTCTCCCTCAGGCAAAAAATGTGAAAAATTAACCTTAAAAGGCAGTATTTCTTAGAGTATGAATGGTTAATATGTTTTGTGCAAAAAAAGGAGAGGGGGTCCTCTGGCCAAATAGATTTGGCAAATACTGAATTCATCTGATATAACAGGTTTCTTTATTTCTGGTCCTTGCAAACCCTCTCGTGCTCACGTACATCACAACTCCAAAGAGAAGATAGAAAATACAGTATTTCCCGACCTTATTTGATTTTAGAACTCTCTCCTTCTCATAGCATCATATGGACTAATGCATGATGGGGCTCCTTTTGGTTCTGCAGTGACTGCCAGAGGGGAAAAGAGCTCAGGGACCACACAGTGGAAATTAACATGACGCACTCTCCCGGGCAGCCATATTTCCCTAGCTGATAAACATTTATCATGGGCGTGCTCTGGGCTATGCTGTGTGCCAAACATTATGAAAACAAATCTCTAATAGATGAAAAATACTGTTTTCCAAAGGCAATTATCCTTTCATTCCACATATTCCTATCATTTGTATTCTAGAACATCAGATTGCCACACAGATCACATTCATCTATGTGGGCATGTTTTATGCTATTGCTAAGCAGGCTGATAACTACCCTCAAAACTCCAGCACACAATAAGCAGATTGCCAGCTAACTAACTCCCTTCCATCATATACCCAGGACTGTCCTCTAAGCCCGAGACTCAAAGAACAGAACAGCCAATGATCCGGCTTGGACAGTTTAGGTTTAATTCTGTTGGCAAGTGGGAAATGAAACATGATGAACTTTTGATGTTGTTTCCAACTCCAGGATTCCAAGACCATAAAAGGAATGCAGCGATTGTTAAAGAAAAGTAACTGTCATCACCCAGCGCAGAAAGACAGGGAAAAGTCATTTCAGTGCCAAGCAACATGTATTCATTTACCTCTCAATCTTCAGTGACTAAAATCAAAGAATTTGTTGAACTATCAGAAACTGTAATGTCTTCTGTGCTCTCTGCTCTGGCATCATTTAGCCATTTCCCTGCTCACAACCTCCCAGCACAGAAGGTGCGTATGGTCAGTAGATCAAATTCAAAGTTATAAACCTGCTCCTTGTTAGAAACTTCGATAAAAGATTTGATAGAAAAGGAGGCTTAAAGATGGATTTAGGATAATCTATGCATTTCTATTATCCATGCTTTCACTCTCTATCATGATTTAGAGGTGGCTGTAATGTATTCCACCTAATAAAAAAAAAGTAACAGAAGAAGATGTATAACCCTCTTCTGTAGGCCAGTATACTGCGAGAGTTTTCCTTTGACATTACTGGACACACTAATATCAAAGGATTACCAATGTTTTGCATAAAGATCTGATTTTATATATCTACAAGTGTATTCCTTTTTAAATTTGAGGTTCTCAAAATTCAGGATTACCAGCTAAAAAAAAAAAAATTCCATTTATGTATTAACATCTCTCAAACCTAGGCCTTTTCCTGTCCTCCTTCTCTTTACCCCCATTACCACATCAGTCCAGAGCTTATCCTCCTACCTGTGGACCTTGGCATTTCCCTCTGGTGCATTTTTCTCACTCCTACCTCCTTTCTCTCCAATCCATCCTGTTTAATTCTGCTAATCTACTCTTTCTTTTAAACTTTCAAAATCTCTGTTCATGACTCAGAAAAACATCAATGGCTTGCCATCATCAAGTTAAAGTTCATCTTGAGTCTGACATTCTATCTGGTTCCAACCTATTTTTCAAGTCTATAGGAGTCATGCCATGTACCTGGTACTTAATAAACATTTATTGGATGGATGCATGGATGGTTGCTTGGATGGATGGATGGATGGATGATTGGATGTTTAGATGGATGGATGGATGGATGTTTGGATAGATATGGATGCATGGATGAATGGATATAAGGACAAATGCAAAGCCTATGGTCTCACCTAAAACACATTCCAATTTAGCTGCTTTACATATTCTTCTCAAAAAAGGGATTCTTCCTCCCTACTTGCAAGGATTTTTGTATGACCATTTTTTTTTTTTTTTCATTTGGTATCCCCTCCTACCTAAGTCTTTGCCTATTCAAATCTCTGCTATGACTCCAGGCTCAGTTGAAGATTCAAGCCTTACCTTCTCTATCCATTCCAATCCAAAGTGACTTACCCCTGCCCTGAAACCCTAGTCACCATTCAATAAATGTTTATTAAACACATATTATTTACTAACCACAGTGCTAGGCCTTGAGAATACAACTGTTCTCATCCTTCATCTCTTCTCTTCCAGTACATATGTGTATAGACTTACACTCCAAAAAATTCCCAGCACACTGTTGTGAATTACTAATTCAGCAGAAAGTAAACTGCATTCTCTACCAGTGGTTTATGTTATGGGACTGGAGTCAGGTGGCTGAGTTGCAGTCTTTGCACTGTGACTACCTCTGACTTGGGCGAGTTAGGAAATCCCAGTCAGCTATCTTGAAACACATCCCCTTTCTAAAGACCCCACATTTAGTCAGGGCAGACGGAGGGCCTCCTGTTGGGTGGGATTCTTCAACACCAGAGAGACATCTGCTCTGGCACAATTTCCCAAGAGCATACTCTGTCATCAAAGCCCAGGTTCTGAATTAACTCAACTCTGTCACTTAGGCATTCATCTCTTTGTGACTCATATCAAATATGTTCATCATACTGGTTGCTTTAAAGATTAGATGAGTTAAGACTGTGACTCAAAAGGGCATAAGTCCTCGATCCATTTTCATTATTTTTATTAGGTCAAATGCATTTTTACTTCCAAATAAGTATAAGCCAAATGTATACTAAATATAAACAAATAAAACATAAAACAGTATGTCGTTCCTGGGCACTATACCAACAGGCTTCCTTCCTAGGTGAATTTGGA